GTTTTTCTCCTTTATACCAGAAGACTTGAGTGGTCCTTTTGACCGCAAACGAATTTTAAATGACCATTTTTGTTCCCGTGTTCATTCTTTTATTATTACTTTGTTCACTGACTTTTCTCAATAATACATAAAGTAAAAAAATTATTTGCTTTTGCTCATTAATATCGATTTTATAAGTGTTTATATTTAGAAAGGCAGTCTGCAGTCATTTTGACCGCTGATCAAACACAACATTTTCTATTATACATTTTGTCATGTGCGAACTATTTGCTCTTTGCTTTGCAAGAATGTTATAAAAAGATACATAAATGAAAGGGCAGGGGAGGAAAAATTGCTGATCCCGTGTAATTCGTTTTGCGGCTATTTAAATATGCGGCTGTTTAAATATGGATCAAAGGAGTATACGAGGTGGTGAGAGATGAACAGCTGCTGATCACGCTTAATTTTTTCCATGATTGAATGTTATCAATAATTACCTTATGCAAATTATAAATTCAATTCTTTCGATGTTCTCGACTTGGTCTGACAAACAGTTTCGCTCATAATGTCGGAAGAACCCCCGGTAAAAGAAATATCTCAGAATTTTTTTTTCAACTGTTACAAAATACACCTAAAACCGATTCTGATTTAGATGTAAAAACGGATTTATTTTATAAAGAATATATTCCAAAAGATGGAGGTGAATCAGCTTCAGCCAATGAAAGCTAACTTTTTGCACAATCTGCACAAAATGATTACTCCTCCGAATCTGAAAATGAAGAAGTTTAGTTTATAAACTCAGATTCTCGATAAGAAAGTACTTCACGAGGAAGAAATCAAAATATCATAAGGGGTCAAAAACGAAACAGACGTGTGGGAAAAAGTGAAAAACCAGCATTTTTCTCTCAAAATGAACAGAATGAGAGTAATATAAAAGTAGCTAAAGATGGGACAGTGTGGAGTACAGTTCCTTCTGATTCTCTTTCTGTTGGAAGACAACAGCAGCATAATGTATTGAGAGAAGTTCCTGGACCTAGTTTATTTGCCATGAGCCATGTAACTATTGGAAACTTTACTAGGGCTTGGAGACTCTTTATAAACGAAAAGATTCTGAATCTCATACAAAAGTGCACAGAAGCAGAAGTGTAGAGACGTTTACAGAGTCCGCATTGGAGTATCGTTAGAAGAATTAGAATTATCGTAGAATTGGAGAGTCGTTAGAAGAGAGGACGCTTTTATTTTCTTACTTTATGCACTCGGAACTTTCATTTTGAAAGGAATTTCCATTAATAATCTGTGGTCTAAGACTTGGAGCCTTAACTTTTTTCATGAAACAATGTCCCGTGGTAGATTCAAAGAAATCATGAGGTATTTGGTTTTTTATATAAAGTCAACAAGATCTGTGAGACTTCGAACACATCAATTTGCTCTAATATAGGAATTTTGGAACTCTTTCAATGAAAACTGTCTTCTGTGTTGTAAATAAAGTGAAAACATAATGGTGGATGAGCAACTATTTCCATGAAAAGCAAGCCCATTCACATAATATGTGCCATCAAAACCAGAAAAACTCGGGATTAAATTTTGGCTTATAGATGATGTTCAGTTAAAATATTTGTTGAATGACTTTCCATATTTAAGAAAATACGAAAATCGATCTAGTTCTGAAACAGTCGGAGAACACGCAGTACGCCTCTTGGCAGAACCCTTTTAGAATACTAGAAATATTACGACTGACAATTACTTTATATCTTTAAAATTAGCTAAAACATTTAGAAACAAAGAACTCAGCCTCGTTGGTACATTGAAACGAGCCAAGAAAGAAGTACATGAATAATTCAAGATTAAGAAAAGAGAGCTTTATTCAAGCAAAATTCAGCAGCACGATGACATCACCTTGACTGGTTATCATGGATCCCTTAAATTGTGAGAATTCGGATTAGCCTGTCATCTTTCCAAATATGTGTGTGCTCTTAAGAATTAGTGTAATGGAAATTATTGAATTTTTAGAGTTAACGAATTCAATTTTCATTCTCTTAATTACAAATAAATGTTTTTAAAGACATTCGTAAATAACAATATTACAAGAAACTTATCCTTCTCTATATACATTTTATAAAAAAAAAAAAAAAAAAAAGAGACAGAATTTCTTTTTTTACCTAAGTCATGATTAAAACTATGTACTACCGTGAAAATTGGCAGGAGTGTATAACAAAAAATAAGCAACAGTCCCATAAAAGAAAATCGTTTCTTTCATCATCCCTGCCTCAATTCGAATACGGGACCTTTGGATAAGAAGTCAAAGAGCTGCTCTAAAGTAGTTACTTAAAGCTAATAAGTTCTCAGAAAAAAGAGATTCATAGTCGCGCCATTCTTACCGAGATTCTAATCCTTAACATTTGGATTAGAAGTTCACTGCGCAATCAACTACACTACAGGATCTTGAAAAAGGTATTAATTATTCCTCACATTACTTGAGTTCCCTCTCAAAAAATTAAAGGATAACAAAATAGAAAAATTACAATTGAAAAGTTCATTAACAATTAAAGGAAGCGTCTGAGTGGAAAATCCCAGCCTTGACTCAATACAGAGACTACTAAATTAGAATTTATTCGTATTCTCCGTTATGCTATAGGCAAATGAACGGGCGTTTTATTTATTTAGATGTTCAATTATCTTATCGATAATGAAAAAAAAAAAAAAGAAAAAGAAAAAGAATCTGAAATAACACATCGATCAATAACTGCCGAGACTAACCCAGAGATGGCGCTCGTAGTAACCCAGTAACCAGGTCTTTCTAGAGTACGAACCTTTGCTTGAAACGTGTCAAAATTTTAAGTCGATCGGACCAGGAAAAAGGTTTTTTGAAGTGAAGTGAAAAAGGTTTTTCCAAGTGGGTGCCGCGATTGCTTTCGATGGAACAAAAACAGCAACGAGTCGATGATTCAGAAAGCTGTTTATCGCTATTTACTCGCAACAAAAAAGATTTCTTGCGAAAAAAAAAAGAAGGAAAAAAAAAAATTTTTTTTGGGGAAAAAAAAAAAAAAAAAAAAAAAATTTGGAAAAGCGTTGGAACGATTGTATATCAAAAGGTGATTAACAAAAGGTGTTATGTTGATGAATAAAAAAATTTGCAAAAAAATATTTGTTTTCAATTTAGACTCAGGGTTATGATCGATGTGCGTAAATTTGCTTCTCAGCTCAATATAAAAATGTTATTGTCAACATCCAACGATTTTGTTCTCAGTGACACAAATCGTAAAACGATGCGCTAAACGGAGCCAAAAAAAAAAAAAAATTACAACTTTATCAATAAAATCATTCGTTTCTTTAACAAAAAGCTACATTTATGTCCAAAATTTTGGTTATTTTGGAAATTTTTCTTTTTATTTTTTCAATAAGGTATTTTATAAAGCACACCTTTGATGAAATAATTTAAGTGTAAAAGAATTAAAATTGAAACAAAAAAAACCCAGTTATCCTAGAAAAATACAACAGAAGATATAAATAATAGTGTTAGTATGAAAATATCACGGCCATACAAAATGAAGTAGGATTTTAATTTTTTGAATAAAAAAAATCTCTTTAGATTAAACATAAAAATAGTTATACTTTATAATATGATACAAAAGACAAATTTAAAAATTCGAAATTGGCTTTTGTTTTATGATCGGTGCATTCGAAGAGATATTTAAAGCAATGCCATACTTTAAAGAATTTGAAACCTTAGGTTTTAAGCATACGAATTAATTTGTAGTTTCGTCTTAAAAATTGCATCATATATTTCATGAGTGTAAAGCATATCAATCTCATTATAAATAAAAATTCGAACGTTATTAAGAACTTGTTTACTTTTTTAGAGACACGATTGTTTCTTCTGTATATTCTCCATCAATCACTATCCTTTATATAAAAATTGACTTATCATAAATAAAATAAAATGCAATAAAATTTGAACTATTTCAATATAATGATATGGAACCAGATAGGTTTACGATTTTTGCAATATTCACCTTTGGCTTAGCGCTAATGTAGGAAAACATTCGTTGTATGTTTGAATACATTGAACCATCATTTCCAGTTAGGATGTTTTCACACTCATTCGACATAAACTTTTCCGATTGATAGAGAGATGATGGGGTTCCGGAGACGAATTTTTGTTTTTGTCGTTCGTTTCAGGAAACCATTTCATGGAATTTATTTCCACTTTATCTGTCTTCTTATTTCCTGTTCTTTATTAGATTAATACGAAATGAAAAAAAATATATCCTTTATGGCACCAGAATCAATTATCATTTTAAATTATTACTATTCTCTCTACAACGAAGTTTTGAATATATATTTACCACTTTGTGTAAAATTTCTTTTCCCAATTAGGTTTTGCATTAAGCATAAAATTTACGCAAGCCAAAATCATTTTTTGTCTATTTACATTGTAAAGAATGAAACATGATTGCACAAACTACGGAGATCAATGTTGTTTACTTATTTGTTCAATCCTCTACCAGGGTTTCATTCTCAGTTATTTATAAAATTAGAATAGATTTCTTAATATTTGTGATAGTGGGATGAGCATATTGTACAATTTCTGAAAGCAGACGAAACGTGAAGAGAAATTGTTAATCGTTTGGAATTACATAGCGTTGCAGAAAAAATCATTCAGGTTTGATACTTTTGTCAAGGAAATAAATTGAAAACTTCAGAAAATGTCATTAATTCTTTCTTCCTTGATGAGCGTGTGTGGGTAAATATTTTAAATTTTTAGATTTCGGATTAGACGGCAATATTTCCAAAAGTGCGTGTGCCTTAAGAATGAATGTAATTGAACTTGTTGAGTGTCCCGAAATCTTTTTCATTTCACAATTACAAATAAAGTTTTCTGACGAATCGTAAATGAAACTATAGCACAAATTTTATCCTTCTCTACAAAGAATTCATAATAAAATGAACCACCTTGTGGACTATCTGATGTAGGCGAAGTTGATTTCCAAAGCTGGGAAATCGCACGATCTTGCTTTCATCATCCCTGCCGGGTTCGAACCGGAACCTTTGGATTAGAAGTCAACGCGCACACACTGCGCTACAGGGACCACGCTAATCGAACATGTAATTAAGATCGGTGATACCCAAACGAAAAGCTGTCGATGAAACAAAATTGTTTAAAACTGATGATTCCTTCATCATGGAAGAGATCAATCCATCCCTGCGGGTTTTCGACCAGGACCTTTGGATTAAGAGTCAACGCACTATCACTGCTACAGAGACTACGAAGATGCTTGAACATGAAAATTGTTTGATGACCTCTTATAATATTGAAGTTGAACAAATAGACACATTAGAATTTTGCATAGCCAAATCATCTCGAATTAAAATAAGTTTCACGGTGGCACATGCCTTGATTCTATCAAAGACCATTGTTTTTTTTAAATTAGCAACTCAGCAATCCGTTGCGCTACGAATTATTAATTATTTAGATGTTCTCTCGTAGGAAAGAAAACAAATTAAAATTCATTCTGAGAAATGCGTGATTGGCTTCTTGTCACAATGTCAAAATACGCCTGGCTGCATTCTCGGTGGAATGAACGGGAATCTGAATCATTGCAGTGCTTTTGCATGAGACCAATGCGTTGAGGGGCACAAATACGTAAATCATCTATTTTAACCAAATACTTAGTTTATTTATTAAAAAAATTTGAAGTAGGGTCCAAAGTTTGTTCATTTGTTGGTTTTCTTTCAGTTTTCAGGTTTTAAAGGAAGTTTGTAAAACACATTTTGATATGAAATCGTCTAAGGATGTGATCAAATTCGGCAAAAGAAATGAAGCAGTTATCACGAGAACAATATATTAATATTGCATTTAAAACACAATGGGATGCAATTATTTTGATTACCGTATTCTTATCTGATTTATCTTTAAAATAGTTGTTCTTTACAATATGACACAAGAAAGAAGTTTTAAAGTTTAGACTTTTATTGTTGGTCGGTGCATTCGAAGATAGATTGATAAACAAACACATGCACTGAAGAATTTGAATCGGTGTGGTTTCTCCGGCCGTCCAATTGCTTTGTCTTAAAAATTGCTGATAAAGTTATTGAGATTTAAGCATCTGAATCTCACTTTGAAAAAGAATACGATCATTAATAAGAAATTGTTCACTTTTTTCGAGTTACTATTTTTTTTTCTGTATTCTTTCTATCAATCACCATACTTTCAATAAAATTTGTCCTTTCCTATAAATGTAATGATATGAAACCGGATAGGTTTACGATTTTTGCAATATTCACCTTTGGCTTAGCGCTAATGTGGAGGCAAAGCATTCCCAGTTGTATGTTTCGAATACATTGAACCATCATTTCCAGTTTAGGATGTTTTACACACTCATTCGACATAATAAACTTTTTCGATTGATAGAGATGATAGGGTTCCGGAGACGAATTTTGTATTGTCGTTTCGTTTCAGGAAACCATTCTTTCATGGAATTTATTTCCCACTTTATCTGTCTTCTTATTTCCTGTTCTTTATTAGATGAATACGAAATGAAACAAAATATCCTTTATGGCACCAGAACGTAAATTATCATTTTAAATTATTACTTTCTTATGTCTCTACAACGAAGTTTTGAATATATATTTACCAGTTTGTGTAAAATTTTCTTTTTCCCAATTAGGTTTTGCATTAAAGCAATAAAAATTTACGCAAGCCAAAATCAGTCATTTTTGTGTCTATTTACATTGAATTTTAAGAGAACGAAACATGATTGCCACAAACTACAGAGATCAATGTTGTTTACTTATTTGTTCAATCCGCTCTACCACAGGGTTTCATTCTGCAGTTATTATTTATAATTAGAATAGATTTCTACTTAATATTTGTGATAGTGGGATGAGCATATTGTACAATTTCTGAAAGCAGACGAAACGTGAAGAGAAATTGTTAATCGTCTGGAATTACATAGCGTTGCAGAAAAAATCATTCAGGTTTGATACTTTTGTCAAGGAAATAAATTGAAAACTTCAGAAAATGTCATTAATTCTTTCTTCCTTGATCAGCGTGTGTGGGTAAATATTTTAAATTTTTAGATTTCGGATTAGACGGCAATATTTCCAAAAGTGCGTGTCTTCTTAAGAATGAATGTAATTGAACTTGTTGAAATTTTAGTGTCCCCGAATTCCCTTTTCATTCTCACAATTACAAATAAATGTTTTCTGAGGAGATACGTAAATAAAACTATAGCACAAGAATTTTATCCTTCTCTACAAAGAATTCATAATAAAAATAGTGAACCACCTTCAGGTACTATCGTGATGTAGGCAGAAGTTGATTTCACCAAAGCTGGGGAAATCATACACACGAAGTCCTTGCTTTCATCATCCCTGCCGGGGTTCGAACCCGGGACCTTTGGATTAGAAGTCCAACGCGCTATCCACTGCGCTACAGGGACCACGCCAATCGAAATGACATGTAATTAACGATCGGTGATATTACATTTTTCAAACGAAAAGCTGTCGATGAAACGAAATTGTTAAAACTGATGTATTCCCTTCATCATGGAAAAGAGATCCGCAGTCATCCCATCCCTGCCGGGTTTCGAACCCGGGACCTTTGGATTAGAAGTCCAACGCGCTATCCACTGCGCTACAGGGACTACGAATACTTGAACATGGAAATTGTTTGATTGACCTCTTATAATATTGAAGTTGAACAAAATAGACACATTAGAATTGTAAAGTTCGAAATTCATCTCGAATTAAAATAAGTTTCCGGGTGGCACATCCCTGCCTTGATTTCTATCCAGAGACCACTGTTTTAAAAGTGTATCGCGCAATCCGTTGCGCTACGAATTATTAATTATTTAGATGTTCTAATATCTCGTAGGAAAGAAAACCAAAATTAAAATTACATTCTGAGAAATGCGTGATTGGCTTCTTGTCACAATGTCAAAATACGCCTGGCTGCATTCTCGGTGGAATGCGAACGAATTATCTTCAGAGTAGAAGTGCTTTGCGGAGACCAATGCGTTAGAGGGGCACAAAACATGAAATCATCTATTTTTTAACCAAAAACTTAGTTTATTTATTAAAAATTTACAGTAGGGTCCAAAGTTTTGTTCATTTGTTAGTTTTCTTTTCAGTTTTCAGGTTTTTAAAGGAAGTTTGTAAAACACATTTTTGATGAAATCGCTTAAGTGTGATCGAATTAAAATTTAAACGAAATGAAGCAGTTATCACGAGAACAATATATTAATATTGCATCTAAAACACAATGGGATGCAATTATTTTGATTACCGTATTCTTATCTGATTTATCTTTAAAATAGTT